TAATCCATTAAAAATGAACAATAAAAACAAAGATGGGAGGGGTGGATCATGATACCAGAGTGACTAGAGACTCTTCTGTTAAGCTCAGAATTTAAAATAATGTATTCAGAAGATAGAGAGATTGATGTTTACCTTAGGATAAATATAAAATGGCATGAATTAGAAATCAGTTTAAGGACTAACAAAGTCAAGTATGAGGTGCCTGAAAACTAGAAAGAAGTGAATACTGTACTGGTTTTTGAAAAGGGAAAAGCTTGACATTAATACCTGGAAAACTGGTAGAGCTGGTTATTAAACAGATCCTTTGTGAATAGGAAGAAAGCAGTGCTGACTAAGTGGGAACATGGATTTGCCTAAGAGGTCCTGAGAAGCAGGTAAATTCTGGCTTAGAGCCTCTGGAGAGGGGGATCTTTAAACTTGCTCTGTTTGCTCAGCCTTCTTATCAGCATATCTGAGGATGACATAGACCATAACCCTTATCTAGACTTTCAGGGAGTTGCAGGCTTGGGATCCGGAAGGAACGTGAAGGAGGGGGGCTGGTGTGAATGAGATGAAGAGGGAGGGAGACACCTTTATGAAGATCCAAGGGCCCCAAAGCTGAGAGGAACTGCTGGGATGTCAGATGTCAGATCAGTATCCAAAATCACCTTGCTGTTTAGGAAAGCTGGATATGCAGGCCAGTGAATGCAGAGAGAAAGCAAAGAGGTTTGTGTGTGCTGAGGGATGAGTGCGAGGATGGAAGGGAGTGGGAATTAATTTATTGATATATACGTGCAGAGCACTGCACCCACGCTGTGCCAGGTACTGTGTTCTGGGTGCTATTGGAGCAGTGAATCAAGTAGAAAAACGTTCAGCCCCCATGAAGCTCATGTGTAGTGCAGGAGATCGGAAACAAACATACATGTAATTTCTTAGGGGGTGATTCATGTTATGGAGAACAATAAACCACCATGGGGTAAGAGAATGCTGGTGGGGGGCGGGAGGCTGTGACTGGCTTACACAGGGTTGTGGGGAGTCCTGCCTGATGTTGTGGTATTTAAGCCTGAGGGCAGTGAAGGTGCAGTCAGCCCAGATGGCTGGGAAAAGTGGTTCCCCAGCTTGTGTGCTAGAGCTGGGAGAGGCAAGTGTGCCTGCAGCAGAGAGCCCTCAGGGAAGGGGAAGGAGGATGGTGCCGGAAGAAGCTCCAGGTGAGAGGGCAGAGAAAGGGGGCCTAGAAACCCGCTGTTCATCCTGATGAGATTCAGGATTTGAGTAGAGGAGGGACAAGATCTGGGAGTACACACTTAGGATCCTTCTTGATGACAGCCTTCCAATGCTTAGAGGGAACAGTTCCAAAGTCAGAGCCATGGCCATCTAGTGAAAGCTACCAAGAGACAGCTTTTAGTTCAGTGAATGGCAACTTTAGAATTCAAGTTGCCCAAGCAATGGTCTGTGCTGCTTCATGAGTTTAGCGTGGGTTTGAGCTTAAAAACCACCGGGTCCGTTTCAATGTGAACATTCACTGAGTCTTCCACCTTGGAGAACAGGTGTTTCCTGACATTGGTCCTGACTTTGGTGGGGTCACAGATGGGGAAGAGCAGAGCAGGCGCGTGGAGGTGCAGGGGATGCTAGGAGGGAAGTGGAGGCTGGGTTCATGGAGACACAGGGGAGCCGTGTGAGTTCCTAGAAGAACTTCCTAGAATTTCCCATGGTTCAGAAAAGCGAGGGGCCCTGCCACAGAGAGACTGAGCAGTGGGCATGAAGAGGGCATGGGTCCTGAGATCATGGAGGAGAGTCCTGGGGTAGGCTAGAGGTCTTTCAGGAAGCAGCAGAGGATGAATGGAAGAGTTGCCAGGGACAGAGCTTCGAGCTGAGTGACCAAGGTGATAATCAGAGGCTTGTGAGGTGTGCCCCTGGGTGGGAAAAGGAAAGCTTTTGTTTCGTAGGGATCACAGGTACCTGCGTGAAAGACAGAGGACTGTCTGGCGTAGAAATGGGGAGGGGAGGGCAAGAGATGCCACAGGAGAGGGACCCCCAAGATGACAGGAAGAGTTGAGGCCTAGAGGTTGGATCCACAGAAGACGCATTCTGTCTGTATCCCGTGATGGCAAAGGTGGGATAAAGGGCCTCTGCCTGAGAGGGTGACATAGGAGAAAGCCTGAGATTATTGCAGGTTTGGGTTGCCTGGGTGTGGGGAGCAACAGCTGACCCAAGCAGAGAGAGCCTGATTCAGCCTGTGTTTTGGCTGTGCAGGGGGAGGGCCCCCATGTTCCTTCCCCAATTTCAATTCAGAGACATACGCACTGTCCTCCAAACTGCCACTTAATTATATGCTGGTCTGATTGCAAGGACACTGAGCGAATTCATTTAAATTGAGAAAATTGGGCACAAATGAAAAATTTTAATATTCTCATCTCCTCCACCCCCCCACCCCCCAGTTTATAATTTGGAGGAAGGAAGTAAATTTAATGCAGAATGTAAACATTTAACAATTTAAGCTTCTTCCTAAAATAATAGATTGACTTTTTAAGCCTACATTTCTTTCTGAGTAAAAGAAATAATTCTTGGAGGCCGAGGTCTTTGCCTGAGGTTGGGAGTTCGAGACCAGCCTGGCCAACATAGTGAAACCCCGTCTCTACTAACAATACAAAAAAGTAGCTGGGTGTGGTGGCATGCACCTCTAATCCCAGCTACTCGGGAGGCTGAGGTAGGAGAATCGCTTGAAACCGGGAGGTGGAGGTTGCAGTGAGCTGAGATCGTGCCATCGCACTCCAGCCTGGGCTACAAGAGCGAAACTCTATCTCAAAAAAAAAAAAAAAAAAAGGAAATTATTTAGTTTTAAGTTTAAAATAATTGATAAATAAGATTATGTTTATTTGTTAATTTAAATGAAATAAAACACATGCTTCTGTAGTGGTTATATTATGGGAAAACTGTTCACAATATGCACAGTTAATTATTTGAATTTCAGATGGTTCCCCTGTGGATGTCTTTACATGTGTATGCTTTAGAGCCAGAGGTAATTGATCCAATGTTGTCTTTTATTAGATATTTCCAGGCTAATATGCCACTGACCCTAACTGTTATATATTCCTGATTCTCTCTCTAAGCCTTGGAAAGGTTTTGGACAAAATCACTAATATTCTAACTCTTTTGGTGGAATTTCAGTTTTCACAATTACTTTTTTCTGTCTTTTATTTTCTCTCCCCCCTCCGCCGTGTGTGTGTGCATGTGTATGTGTATAAATACACACATATGTATTTATTTTGCATTTACTTATAGTCACTGTATTTTAAGCTTGCATTCTCGTGGAAAGTCTATGTTATGAACTTAGCACTTATTCCTCAGAGGCGGTTTAGATAATGGAAAATTCATGAGCTGTGTAACCAGACAGATGGTGGCTTAAATTCTAGCTCCAGCACATTCAAACCGCATGTTCTTGGCAAGTTACTTCACCTCTCTGAGCCTTGGTTTACTGCCCTATAAAATGGGTCTAATTATTACTTATCTAATGGAATAGTTATGAGAATTCACTATATAATGAGAATTATATATTTTTTACTAGGTGTTAAAAGCACCTAGTAAAATCTCTCCATTAGTGGACACTACTGCTGCTTCTGTTTTTGCTAGAGGACTACAATGGGGATATGAAGCAATGAGAATTCTAAAAACTAGGGAATGGGAATGTGGAAAGTAGACCTCTGAGAAATAAAGGGAAGAGAGTGAAAGTGAAAAGTTACTGAGGTAAGTTAGTATTTTATCACTCAACTTTCTGTTGTACTGGTGAACCAGTAATTAAATTACCTTACATTTTCTAAATATTGCATGTACTTTCCTCACTGGATGGCAAAAGATGCAGTTTACTTAGGGTAATTTAATTTGGTTATTACACTTTGATTCTCATCATGCTTTCTTTCACCCTGGTTTGTAGAATATTTGAGAAATCATTGATCGGGCTCCCTGTCTTCACGAAGTTGAATGTCATTTCAACATATGGTCATGTCTTGTCTCCCAGAACGTTTTTGGGAATGGTGTTCGAGGTTTTGCTACATAACAAATCACCATACAACTTAGTGGCTTAAAACCACCATCATTTATTTAGCCTGCAATTCTGTGAACCAGCAATTTGGACTGGGCTCAGGTGGACTCTTCTTCTGCTGGTCTCAGCTGGGTTCACCTGTGAGTCTGTGGTCAGGTGCTGGTCAGCCAGCTCTGCTTCTAGGGGATGGGTGGCGATCAGCTGGGGTGATAGAGAAAGGGAATGGTGGGGAATATGGACCTTGGGGTTCACTCATTACCCAGAGACTAGTCCTGTCTTGTTCAGATGGCAGCTCAAGTTGCCAAAGACTCTTGGGGCCCAGTTTCAGAACTTGGACAATTATACTTCCACTTCATTGTGTTGGCCAAAGCAACTCGAAACGCCATTGCAGAATCAAAGAGCAGAGAAACAGACATCACCTTTTCCTGGGAGGGCCTGCCAAGCATTGAGGCCATTTTCACAATCCTCCTTAGGTGGGGTCTCTACAGTCCTCATTAACAAGTCAATTCTGGTCTCTTGGAGTCAATAGGTTCCTTCTCAGATGTGAGACAGACTACACACATACTGTAGTAACTTCTGCTTTAATGTTAGTCTCTTAAAAAATGACTTGGCATTTTGGAGACTGAAAAGAAGTACTTAAGTTTTTACATCCCTTATGTTGCAGACAGATTGCAAGTGTGTGAAGTGTTGGCACCAGAGGATTGACCCTGACCACACTGGGCCTTCCTTGGATTTAATCCTGACCAGATCCACTCACCCGTGTCTAAGCAGTGGTCAGGCAGAATGAGGAAGTGTCAGCTGGTGACCTCACTAGAGGCTCTTCAGGTGGCCCTGGATCAAGGGCAGCTTATTCATTGTCTTTGATGCAGAAAGTGAGACATAGGAGAAAGGGCCACCCCTTAACTCACTGGATTTCTTGAAACATTTAAACATTGCATTGTACCAAATGCCAAGCAGATAAGTGAGTTCCTCAAATGCAGCTTTTTAAAACTCTTGTCACCCATCAGATGATCTCAAGCTGTTTGGCTTGTTTGAAGCAGCCAAGGATTTCTTTTCTTTCTTTCTTTCTTCTTTTTTAAACAGGCAGGGTCTCACTCTGTTGCCCAGGCTGGTCTTGAACTCCTGAGCTAAATTGATCCTCCTGCCTTGCTTCCCAGAGTATTGGGATACAGGTGTGAACCACTGTCCCTGTCCAAAGTTTTATTTTCTGATCATTGTGGGGAAAAGTAAATTCCAAGATTTTTCCCAAGACAGTAGACTTAGGATCTTAGTGGTTTGTCTCCAAGTCACAAACTTAAGGGGTTCTTTTTTTACGTGAATTTTACCTGAGTTCTAACTTGTGTTGGGCCATCATATTTGTTATGCAGAGCCTTGGGCTTGTGTGCCTTGGGTAATGTGAACTGTTTGAATTGACTTCTGGCCTGTAAACTCTACTCTCTTCCCACTGAGGACTGACCCCAGGGAATTGCATGAGTCAGGGAGCTGCGTGTTTCTCTTGGTGACCATGGAAATTAGGAACAGTGATGACCTGGATTTAGGGGAAAACTGGAAAGTGACTGATTCAGTTGAACAGCTCCTGGGACTTCAGTGGGCCAGGCCTGGGACAGAACACGCCAGACACAATGTTCCTGTCTTCTGGGAGGAGGTCCTATATTGTAGCCATTGTTCCCTTGGGATCAAACAGCCTTCCACCCTGTGATACAGCAAAAATTAGTAAGAACGCATCTGAAGTGTTTTTGCTTATTGATGAATTAATACCGTGGCAGAGGAAAGAGATCAATGTCATTGCATTTACCACTCTTCTTATACACCCAGCTTTCTTACAGGTGCGTTCTTTGAAGAAAACTTGTGAAGCCTGTAAATTGAATGGAAGGAGTAGGAATTATTTGGGTTATTTTATTTTATTTTTTTTTTGAGACGGAGTCTCGCTGTGTCTCCCAGGCTGGAGTGCAGTGGCGTGATCTCGGCTCACTGCAAGCTCCGCCTCCCGGGTTCACGCCATTCTCCCGCCTCAGCCTCCAAGTAGCTGGAACTACAGCGCCGCACACCCGCTATTTTTGTATTTTAGTAGAGGGGTTTCACCATGTTAGCCAGGATAGTCTCGATCTCCTGACCTCGTGATCCACCCGCCTCGGCCTCCCAAAGTGCTGGGATTACAGGCTTGAGCCACCGCGCCCGGCCTATTTGGGTTATTAAAATATTCTTCGCTTTCTAAAAATGAAGAAAAATTATCCATCTTCTCAAGATTAAGAGTTCTATACTAGTTGAGGGGCTGGGCCTAGTTGCTGAGGTTGGAGTTACTGTATTTTTCTCTGATGCGAAGTAGTCTGGGCCCAGTGGAGATTCCAGGGTGAAGGAGGACTTGGGATTGTATAATTAGGCATCCCTGTGGACGGTCAGGATGCTGTACAGATGGTGGGGAAAGCAATGAGGTTGTGACATTAATGGATTTCCCAAGTGTTTATTTGGCTTCTGTTATGTCTAGGCATTGTAGATTCCTGTAGTCACATCCTTGAAGAGAGAGAAATAAGTAAAAAAAAAAAAAAAAAAAAAAAAAATGCAAAAAGTAAGTGGTAAATGTGTTAAGAGAAGGAAATCTTTGGGTGCATTTTGGGTGCCTAGTGACATGACTTCCTGGGTGAGTGGAAGAAGGCTAGTTTGTGGAAGTAGCAGTTTTCCAGGTGGAGAAGGGAGGGAAGTGGTATTCCAGGCTGTAGGAACCTGTGTTCAAGACGGGGAGGAGTGATGAGCACTGTGTGTTCAGGGAACTCCATGTCATCGTTACATCTGACTAGACCAGAGCGGGAACCGAGTGGAGAGGCAGAAGAATAAAAGACAAAACATTTTATGAATTTTAATATTCACTGGGGGGTGGGGGGCATTGGATTAAATCCACACACACTGCTTTTTAAAAAGGCTTCTGTTTGACAAAATGAAATGCTGTTCAGCTCTAAAAGTAGCTCTTCACTACTGGGTTAATTGAATTTGGCTACTTTCCTGTAAGTGACAAATCCCTTTTTCTAGAAAAAGGTGAACAGATTCACCTAGCTCAGTGCGGAATGTTGTTTCACCTGTCTGAATGGTCTCTTTTAGGTGGGGCCTTATGCTGTAGGCTAGCAATCGCAAATCTTTGCCCAACTCGAAGAATTCAGAACCTGGATTGTGAAATACAAGTAAAAGTAAAATAACTATCATTGTTATTTTCTACTGTTTCAATATGGCTCATCTGGGCTGTGGCTTCTTGAGAAATATTTGGCACGAAAGGACAAATATTTACAGGACCCGAAAGATGGAAGGTAGAGAGTGCAATGGCAGTTTGAGAGCAGCTCAGGTGGGCTTCGGAGCTTTTGTGAATAAGAGAGAGCTCAGGTTTGATTTAGTGGAAATTGATTTAAAAATTAATTCTATTACTGGAAACTTGCACTGGGGGGGTGGAAACCTGGGTATTACTGTCCACTGCTAACACTGCGAAACGATTTTCTTCTGGCAGGAGTGGTAGTTGGAATTTAAACCAGACACTGACCTGAGATGCTCTCTAAAGTAAATTGACTAAACACTTACTTGCAAATGCTCTATAATGAAAATGTTCAATTAGACTGAAATTGTATTCTACTCCTTATAGCTTATTCATCTCACTTGGTGAGTGCTTTTTAATTTTATATCCACTTATAAGTGGGAAACAACTGTTTATAAATAATTAGAAGGCCTTTGGGTCTTCTCTGATTCAAAGTCTTACATTCCTGAGGCAAACTGATGGTTCTGTCTTGCCACCAAATGCCTGGTGCCTGGTAACACAAGCGGCAGCAAAATCTGAGACCTGAAATCAAGTGCCTTAGCTAGTGTTTTAAACATCAAAGTATGAGTGATTTCAATTGGATTGAAAAGTACCCAGTGAGAGAAATTTTACTTGCAGCAAGGAAGACTAGGATTTGAATGTGTCCAATGACTGTCCCCATATATCCTGGGGGAAGTTATTTAACCCATTAATGCCTTAGGTTGCAATTTTTTGAATTTTTGCATGAATGAAAAATCAGACCTTGGCGATGACCTTGAGTGGTAGGATATAAATAACTCCCACATGCTTAGCGTTCCAATAATGGAACACTAGGCATATTAATCTTTCCAAGCTTCAGTTTCTGCCTTTATAAAAAGGAGATGACAGTGCTCAGATCTGCCTCTTTGAGGTGGGTTTTAATTTTATTGGTAATATTTCAGTTCTTTTTCAAAAATTTGAGGCCAAGATCGCAGATTTACATTTGAAAAGTGTAGGTGGTGGATTTCAGGGGTACCTGTTAAATTATTTTCTGAGTTATGTTTGTTTCAGATTGTTTTCCAATTAGACCAAAAATTTAATCACAAATTAGAAGTGAAAATGCCAAGTGCCCTCACACCTATTTCTAGACTCCATGAGTATTTTTGAACCGGACGCGTATGTTTGGCTTGTGGGGATTAAGGCGAGAGCAGTGAGGTGACAGTGCTGAAGAACTAATCATAAGACTGCCATCTTCACCCTCCCCCATTCTGTGGTGCTTCCCAAACCAGGATGCAACCAGCTGCAATCCACCCGGGCTTTGTTGCTTGCTCCAGAAACTGTCTGTGAACACGTGCTTTTTCTATACCTGTTGAATGGGTTCTTGCTGTACTCATTGAAGATGGAAAGAATGGGCAAGGATTTCTGATAGAGTAGTAGTGTATCTGTAACCACTTACGAAAGGTCAGCCTGGTGAGAATTAGGGGTCAGGAGAGGGATCGGTTTATCATGATCATTCATTGTTTACTTCTAAATGTAGGTTAACGTGGTCGAAGAATGGTGTCTCTACCAGTGGCTCTGTCCGGGGAACTTTAGAGTTTTATGTTAAATAAGAACCCAGACTCTGGCAGTTATAGGGCCTGGTTTCTTGGATCTGGGTTTTCAATCACTGGGAGTCTTGAGTGACTAATTACCCTAGCGCTTAGGCAACATTTGTCGTCTTCTTTCTATTCCTTTATAGGTTGGGCAGTTGTTCCGGCTTCTCTGGGACTGAGAGGTATCCCAAGATGTGGAACTTTACAACCAGAAAAATCTGAGGCAACTGGGGCAGCTGGTCTTCCTACTTTCTAGCCTCCATGCCTTCCTCTTCTCCTCTTGCCTGCCTCCTCTCTCATGGCCAGACAATTCCATGAGCATTCCAAACTCTTTAGGCTGTTTGTGACAGATAAACTTTACATGTGGTGGACCTGGGGAGTTTGGCAATACAAAGTGATTCATTTTAAAAAATAGGAGTGCTCTTAGGGTAGTTTGGATGCAAGCATGACCTGCCTTTATAGAGGTTACATGTGTGCTGCCTGCAGTGCTCCTGATGATTTCTTTGCAGTTCTTTCCCTTTTGCTGAAAGTGTTCTGAAAATAGAGAGCCATGGCCATTATAGTTAGAACAGGGAGCAAACAGACACCTCTGAGATGATCCCTAGCCCCCTGCGCCCTGCCTGGGTCCACCCCTACTTCTAGGTAGCTATCTGCTGTCACCACCTGCAAGAGCAGGAGTGTTTGTAAGCTGTGGATTATGTTCCTAGGATTACTAGTTTTTCTTTTTCAGGAAAAATAATACACAATTCAAGCCAAATGTAAACAAGCACTAAGATCCTACACTTTTGTTCCCGGTAATCATTAAATGCTGTGGGTCATTTCACAATTTCAGTTGTCATTTCAGTTATCCCTCATACGTAGACAGGACAGGTCCAACCTGTATCTCAAGGTCAAAGGGCTGGACTCTACTTATGTGTGTGGAACTTCAGAATACCAGGCAGAAACCCATGCAGAGAGGTTGCCTCTCAAGATTTTGATCTTGTCTCCTCCGTGAAGTATGACACGAAGAATTTCTCTTTCCTTATGATTCATCAGGAGAGTGCCGTTTATTCTTCCAGGTTTCCAGCTCACACACCCCTGCTACTTTTTCCTCCTGGAGAGGTTACAGGACCTTGTGATCTTACTGGGCTGTGTGAAAACCCCATGATGATGCCTTTCTGTTCTGCAGGTCTTTGACCGTCTGTTGTAAGTGCTCTTTTTTCTCTTGGTTATCTAGCTGCCAGCTGTTTACAAACTAGTTTGCATCAAGTGGTTGCCTAGAAACCGTTATGAAAACAGGATTAGGCAAAGCATTTTTTTCTATATTACAGCTGCTTTCTGATGAAGGCTTGGCATTAGAAAGAGCTCAGTGTGTACCCCTTCCCAGCCTTAAAACACAATGCAAGTGAAACAAGGACTTTCCAACAGAGATGACATGATTTCTCTATAGTCACATTTCGAGACAGTCATCACCCACCCAACTCTCCCCTCCTCTGCAAACCCACATACCCTTCCCTTTCAGGAGAGCCATGTGTGGGGGATGGTTGACCCTTTTTAAAGAACATTTAACATAAACCAACAGCAGGTCTCAGATACTGTTATTTACCCATCCATTCTTCGGGCCTTAGCTAGACTCGAGTGGGTGCAGAGAAGTTAGAAGGCTCTGGCAGTAATTTGGTCATAAAGAAGGAATGTGTTATGTGGAGTAGAAGTTAATCAACTAAGCGGTAAGCAGGTTTTCAGTGAAACACCACCGGGAGCTAATCCCACTTAACATCAACTACAGTGACTTAGAGGGAACAAGCTCTCTAACCCTGAGCTCTCTTCTTTCCCAGGAAATAAATCAGGATGAAGTCAAGAGACATCAAGGAGTTTACATTAAAAGGTCTTAGTAAGTGATTGAAATATTCTTAAACTGGCTGGGCGCAGCGGCTCATACCTGTAATCCCAGTACTTTGGAAGGCTGAGGCAGGCAGATCACTTGAGGTCAGGAGTTCGAGACCAGCCTGGCCAACATGGTGAAACCCTGTCTCTTCTAAAAATACAAAAATTAGCCAGGCGTGGTGGCAGGCATCTGTAATCCCAGCTGAGGCAGGCGGATCGCTGGAACCCTGGAGGCGGAGGTTGTAGTAAGCCAAGATCACACCACTGCACCCCAGCCTGGTTGACAGAGTGAGAGAGTGAGACCCTATCTGAAAAAGAAAGAAAGAAAGAAAGATTCTTAAGCTCCTCCTGGAAGAGGATAGATAGGTAAATAAGTGATTATGTCTGGATTTGGGGTCAAAGGAGAAAGAGGAATCAGGAAAAACTTAGTAAGTCAGCAAATACTGAGCACTTGCAGATATGGTAGAGTGGGGTGGGGTAGTAGGGTGTCAGTCAAACCCTGAGCAAGACAGACAGTCTCTGTATATTCTAGCGCAAAGGTGGGGAAGCAGGGGCCACATGATAAAAACTGGAACAGATAAATCGGTAAGCTAATTTCAGATACTGGCAAATGCAGTGAAGATGACAAAATGGGACCTGTGGCTCCTGTAGGGGACACGGACACTGCTTTTCTAAGGTGACATTTGAGTTGAAAGACTAAGAGCCTGAGGGCTGGGTGGGGATATCCTCTCAGCCGTGGGGAGGATGGGAAGGAGGCTGAGTATATGGAAGAGATAGTTAATAGAAATCAAACACAACGAGAACCTTCAATGTTAGATGACAAATCAGGTCCATACTAGGAAGATCTTTTCCAGGTTTCCCAGAAAAGTAAATCAAACCTCACCAGGCCTCCAGATGGTTTTAATTACCTTTTCGTAGGGCTGCCGAACAGGGTATTAGTCATAGACTTGACAATAAGGACTTGTGGGTTTTTCTCAGAGATATTAATGGATGGGAGTAATTTTGCATTTGAAACTTTATTTTTAAACTACGAAAATAACATATTACCGAAGTTAGAGAAATCAGAAAAATCTCTTATGTTCCCACTATCCTAACAGCCCTGTTATCTATTTTGTATATTTCTTTTTCTTTCTTTCTTTTTTTTTTTTTTTTGAAGACTAGGTCTCGCTCTGTCACCCAGGTTGTAGTGCAGTGGCGTGATCCTGACTCACTAGAGCCTCCACCTCCTGGGCTTAAGGGATCCTCCCACCTCAGCCTCCTAAGTAGCTGGGACTGCAGCTGTGCACCACCACACTCAGCTAATTAAAACATTTGTTTTTGTTAGAGACAGAGGCTCCCTATGTTGCCTAGACTGGTCTCGAACTCCTGGGTTCAAGCAGTCCTTGGGCCTCACCTCCCAGAGTGCTAGGATTGCAGGCATGAGCCACCACGTCTGGCCTGTTTTGTGTATTTCTTACAGTCTTTTTCATGTATATGATTTTAGATAGTTAATATATTGCCCTTTGAATGCATAACAGGCATTTCCCCAATACTTCCTTAAGCTTATATACCATACTTATACATTTTAGTAAGTACAATCAATTCTTGTTATTTGCAGTGGTTAGGGTCTGTTAAGTCACTGTGAACACTGAACTAGCAAATACTAAACCATTGCTGCTAAGGGAAATAGAGGATTAGGTTCCTGCGGTGTCTGATTACATTTTTATCACTAACCAGTATATAACCTTGTTTTATGTGTGCTTCTGTTTAAGGACACCATACTTAATGTATTAGTATATTGTTGGTTTATTAACATTGAACTACGGCCAAGAGTGCTGTCACCCATACCTGAACAAAGCTTATCGAACACGTGGATTTTTTTCTGTGAGGCACATCACAGCCGTCTTGTACTTAGGACACTAGAGAGCACTTAGCACTGTGCTTGGGAGGTGTGTTAGACAGCAACGTCACCAACAAAAAGCACAAAGATGTGAAAAACAACATGGCACTAAATAGACCATGAAAAGGACCCTGCGTAACAGCCTGAGAGCTAGATCAAGAAGGCAGAGCGTGCCCTGCTTCAACCTTAGCTGGGCATATGCATGTCAGTGACTCAAATTTTTTGCCACACTACGTGGATTCTCAAATGACCATGAAAGTGCCACATGTATTGATTTTTGAGGTTACAAATCAATTTTATCAATTAGCCACAATTCATAAATATGGAATCTGTGAATAATGAGGATCAGTGTATTATTCTTCAGACTGTACCATGGCTGTACCATGAAACTAGGGATCCTGAAACTAGAGAGAACCTCCCCAAGCCTTTGAATTACTAGAGTGGAGAAATAAAAAGGTTCCTTTCTCCCGATAATTTTGTAATTAAATGAGAATATGTGAGTCCTTTATAAAGTGTGTTTTGAGATCTAGGTTACACCTTACAATGACACGGTTTCTGACATGTCCTTTTTGTTTGTTTGTTTGTTTTGCCATGAAACTGAATCATAAATGGCTCCCCTTCAGATGCGTACACAGACACACTGCTACTCTGGTGTTTGTGGAGCCTTCGTAATACCTCCTCACTCCATACCCCAAACAAACCAAATTCCTGAAGAAAGCACTACTACGGAGTAGCTCAGAAGCATGGGGTAGGGGAGAAACAGCCCTCTGTGTCTCAGAAGGGAACGGTGGTGATAATATCACCTTACATTTATGAGGGGCTTTAGCATTTGTGAGCTTCTTTGATGTGGTCTAGTTTCCCCAGAAAAAGACATAAATGTGAACTGATGGTAATCATATCTGACCTTACCTGAAATGACTATCACACATTTTGCCCCCCGGAGAAATCCAGGGTGTGAGTCTTGATCCTTTCTTTAACCAGCGCCTGTTTGGTGAGAATAGCTATCCCATTGGAAAACACAGTACCCCTCATATGACCCACAATTCCATGACAAAACCACTCACATTTTCACCATCAAAGATCAAGAAGCATGTGGTGTAGTGGAAAGAGTGTGGCTTTTGCAGTCAAGAGGAACTGATTTTGATTTCCTAGTTCTACCCCTTCCTTAGCTGTGCAACTTTGGGCAAGTTGTAAAGCCTCTCAGAGCTTGCATTTTCTCGTTGGGCTAATGGGATAATAATGACCCCACTCGTGTCTGTTGTGAAGATTAAATAAAATAATATACTTAGCCACTTTCCTTATTATACTTCTGATAGTACCTCTCTTGACAAGGAGCTTATCAATAGATCCTTAGAGAAAATCAGTGAGTCATCTTGATGGTGACCTTTGTTTCCCAGCAACTCGACCTGAAGTTGATCATTCTCAATAACACCATTATCAAATAACCAGTGTGGACTGGGTTTTGCATCCATGAGTATCTAAGCAAATGTCACTATTTAATTTTATTCTTCCAAAACATGTTATTTTTTCCCTGGTGTGAGAAACACAAATGTTCCAAAGTAAACATTCATGAAATACCCCTTAGATTTTTTTTTTTAATCTTGATTGGGGTGTTGACAAGCTTTATGTCTGTGTTAGCTGTTGAATAAAGCCATAGAAGAGACTTACTGAATATAACAGACCCAGGTCAAAGGGGTGTGGGAAGAGGCTACTGCAACACTGGTGCCTATTTAATCCATGGGAAAAGCGAAATATAAGGAAGTAACTTGCACAGAAGGATCTTGAAACCAGGGAAAGCTTCCCCAAGCCTTTGAATTACTGGAGAAACAAAAAGATTCCCTCTCTCCTGATAATTTTGCAATTAAATGAGAATATGTGAGCCCTTTATAAAGTGTGTTTTGAGATTAGCTTCCACTTTACAATGACATCGTTTCTGACCTGTCCTTTTTTAAACATCTGTGGGAAGTTAGCAAGTGAATCCCAACTGCTGGATTGCCCATCACGGGTCAGTATCAGCCTCACTATGGCAGAGATGATAGGGTCAGCAGTCTGAATGCTGAACTCCAGGTCCAAGTGGCTATTTCCTTTTGCACTTTGATAGCTGGCATTTGCCTAAGAGAAAATGATACTTCTTTGGGCTGACTTGGCCTTTGAGATTGCCCTGAGACCAGTGATCTCTGTACCCTGATGTGAGGTATAGACTTATTTCTCAACTAGGAAGAGGTACACCTTCATGTAAACATGTTTGGAACTTTGTTCCATTCTTGTGTGAATGTCCTGTATATTTCTGTTGACTCCTGTGGTGTAAGTTGGTAACAGACAGCCATCCTTAAGCCTGGGATCGTCACAAAACTGATGATCCTGCTGGTTTTCATCGTCATCACTAAAACTCATTTGAATGGCCAGTTGTTCATTATGTTGTGCAGGTCACAGAACAAGGACAACAAAATGCATCTGATATACCTTCTTGGAGTTTGCAGTCTATAACAGATAACTGGATAGGAATGGTCAATTCGTTTTCATGAGGCTATTCTTTAGTTATGTACTAATACTCATGCTGTGGATTCAGTAGGAAAATTGAAACTAGAGAAGTCTTGTGGTGAGCCCAGCACACTTTTGAATAGCCAGGACGATCCTCTTAAATGTTAATATTTACCTTGGCCCAGGTAAATCAGTGTCCTGTTTCCTTCTGTTAACTTGCAGTGGATATCTGCAAGTAAGTAAACAGTCTAATAGTGAGAAATTTAGTAGGGACATGGAACTGAGACACCAAAATTCCAATATATTTGCTTTATTCCAACTTTGTAGAGTTGGAGAGTTGGAGGAGATAGAGAAGCTACAGGTAAGTTTTGGTCCCTACCGTAATGTTCCCCTGGCTACTAGCAAGATGAAGCTTGGGCACTAGTTGAGAAAAACAGTTTAATCGTGAATTGAGTTTCAGCATGATATAATACCAGCTTCAATAATGAACTAGTGAGCATGTTTTAGGTAGTCCTAGTAGACTTTGAGCTGCAAGACAGCATGTTTGCATCTCCAGAATTTAGCACAATTGACTGA